AGAGCCTTTTAAAAATGGATTAGCTGAGATCGTAATTTGTACTCTGGATTGGCCTCTGGATTCAGTTATTCAGGTTGAAATTGCCTCATATACATACGTGTGTGTGTATATATACAGATATATGTATAACAAAATCTGCTAACTGCTTGTTTCACATAATGTTTAATGTATCAGGTGAGCCGTTGCAGGATCTGATATTGTTGAAGTGGTTAGTGCAAACAGATATTTTACGTTTTTGCGTGCGGTAACAAAGAATTGGCTTTGATTGCTTTATGCAGTTCTACAATCAATATTTTCCTAGTTTTCACTATCTCTTGATATGTGAATCTTTCCTTTTAAGAGAAAACAGCACGGATGTAAATTAATCTACATTTTCGTCAGTAAGATATATAGAGGTGAGATTTAACAAATTCAGTTCTGCTCAATTCAGATTGATTTTGGAGAAAATACTGAACATGAACGTGACTGCCAACAGAATGTTGTTTCAATGCAATATGGTTTCAATGTTTCAACAGACAGATACAAATAAATTGACTTGCTGTGGTGGTGGAAAAGACCTTTAACAACTGACCTGTTTCAGTAACTTGAGTACCCCAAAAGCTTTACCTGTGTTGAGGGTATGTAATTAGTGGGTTAGACTTCGGGTTTGTAAGGCACAGCAGTTCTAACAAGAGACCCAGCTTATCTTGTTATTTTTCCATCATTAGATTTTTGTTTGTTGCAATAACAAGAACCACCTGGCAAATGATGCAGACAAATCTTGACAAATATTTTAAATATAATACTGTCAGAAATGTATGGCTTTGTTCTAACTCATGCTGTATAAACGTAAGAGTGAATGCTAAGACTTTCTGCCTATATAAAGGTAAATTGAGTCCACAGAAGTTGCTTGGGATTTATAAACATAGTAATTTAGTCCTAAATACTTTTGGAATATGCTACTTTTCCCCCTGTTCCAGCTTCTGAGTGGCTATACAAGTAATTTTTTTAAAAATTCACTGCCATTTAAAACATAAGCAAGCCTAAAACCTTTAAAAATAACTTATATTGCTAACAATGTCAATGACTTCTAATACAGAAAATGAGAGAACTGTCAGTACAAGGGAGACTTAAGAGGACAGACTTTTTCTTGTTATTAGGACACCAAATACATGTTCAGACATTCTTGTCACTAGAAGAGCCAGATACGCATTGCAGGTGAATTTGATCCCAATCTGCATCTCCTTCTAAGTATCACTGGAAATAACCTGCCTGTGTCTGCTATTCTCTCCATAGTCCTCAGCCTCTGTGCTTGTGAACTGTATAGTCTGTGCCAGCCTTGCTTCTGCTGAAACAGGTTTCATACAGAGTACTCACAATGAACAGTTTAGTTAAGCGCATTGATAAAGCAGGTACTGAAGATCTGCTGAAGAACTGATGTCTGAAAGGAGCTTACTCTCTGTGCCTTGCTGGATGGAGAAAAAGGGAGTTCTTGTCCATGTGTTTCAGTATTGTACATGCCAGAGTTTCCAAAGTCTTACTTGTGTATTCAGATACATACACGCAGTAGCTGTTGAATAGACCAACAGACCACAAAGGACCAGCCTATGGAGACAGGTAGAGGGAATCAAGATGATCAACTGAAGATGAGACCCCTTATTCTTTCCCTTCAGATGACCTGTGCCAACCTTACTTTCTGCAGCCTGTGCCTGGCGGCATGAACAAGTAGCAGTACTTGGTTTGATACAAAATACTGTCTGCCTGCTCAGTTCTTTTATTGAATACCATATTAAATTATGGTAAAAACAGTGATATAAATATCATAGCTGTTTGTAGAGGTTTCCAGACAGCATCATCACAGAAAGGGTTATTGTCCTCTCCATGAAATAATTTTTTTTTTGCCTTTTCTGAGGATTTTGTTATCAAAATTAAAACCTTCCAAGGGCAACTTGAGCAGTACAGGAAGAAATCACTTAGAAGAAACTGGTCTCTTTTCTTTTACTGGTGAATTCAGTCACTTGGGGCTTGTTTGCTTTGCTTGATTTTGGATTTTTTTCACACATATTCTCCTTCAGAACTGTAGTATGGAGTTCAAAGACAATCTTAATAAATATAGCAGATTTTTTTTCAGTTCTAAATAGGCAAATGTTCATGGAGAAATAATACTCTTATTTGTACAGTAAGCTTTTGACTATCTTTTTTGACTAAATAATGTGTTGCTAGTTACAATGTAATCACAGAAGGAAGAATTAGCAGCACTTCTTATTAAATGGACTTTTAGCTTAGAAATTTTAAAGTGAAATTCTACTGACCTATGTGACCATTAGTTTATGGGGTCATGTCAACTCCTTGATTAACATCGACTTAGTGGCTTCACCACAGAAAGGGAATTCATTTTGAGGTGGTAGAGAATTGATAATGCTATGAAAAAATAATACCGTGATTACAGAAGTGAAGATATTGCGGTAAACCTACAGGCTTTGAAAAAAGAATCTTAACACCTGTCGACCAAACTTAATCTCAATGCAAGGCAACCTCCAGCTCTGCCAAGCTATAATGGTGTAGAGTTTCTGGAAAGAATTCAGGAATAGATTGGTTGGCATTGCTAGTGAAATATTGCATTACTTCAGCATTACAGGTATATGACATACAATATATGCTTCAGTAATTCCTAAACATTTGAGATGTTGCAGAAGTACCTTAGATTTAAGAATTTTGCTGAATAGCTCTGTGATTTCTCATGTGTTAAAAATTAAGCACGTGGAAAAGAGTTTTGAAGAATCAGGGCATAATTTTCCTTAATACTACAATTGATTTCTAAGGGACTAGTTAGGGAAAAAAATTTACTCGTCTTGAGTAGAGGGCAGCAGAACTCTGCCTAATAAACAGAATTTTTGAAAAGACACTGGTTTTTTATAGTCTGTTCTCTTGACAATCTGAGGTTGTTTCTTATAATGTCAAATACTCTATTTTTTAGCACTGTATTTAATTTAGTCATAAATGACTCAAACTGTGATGCTTCTACCACTTCCCCAGTCTACATCATAAATCTGAATGTGTAAGTGTTTACTTTGTGTTGCTCGATAAAACAAATAACAATAGATCTGAAAAAGACATCAGAAAACTATTCATTCTTAATTCCTGTGAATGATTGCTTATTTCACTATTGTCTTTAAGTATATAATGATTTCTGCCAAAAGAATCTGATGCAGGTTGAATTAGATTAATGAATACCGTTACATGCTGATGGCCTGAAGGATTTATCGTTATCTAAATATTTTTTCCAGAATGAGCACTTTTAAAATTAGATTAAGCACTTATGTATAATATCTATTTCAACTCCTAGACAAATCACCCTTTTATTCAATTAACATTATTATTCCAAGCTTTACCAAGTAATTTCCCAATAATATAGTATATACTATAGTATATATATAGTTTCACTAGCTGCAGCAGTCAATTTCTGCAAGAAAATCAGATGAAAAGAAAAGAAAGAAAACACAAATGTGTTGATAATAATATGAGACCTAAAATGAGCGTGCACATTTTTGTAAGATGAATCCTTAGATGTTATTGAATTGTGTTTTTCTAATGAGTACCACTGGGTATTAGTCAAACTCGTCACGTCTTAATTGTTGGTGTCATGAGAATGGAATTACTCTTCCTATTTTTATTTTCCTTTTTTCATGAATTTACATTTCAGCAGTCTAAGCTTAGAAGTAAAACAAATATGAATTAATTTTGCCAAGTGATTCTAAATCTCATTTTAATTAGTCCCTTACACTCTACAGTTAACCTTGATTGCATTTCATATTTTAGACTTTCTTGCTTTGTATAATGTGGAATACTCCCTACTAATAATGTTGGTAAAGCAGAAGAATAAAGTGATACATTTTTCTACATTAGCAGTACAGTTTATTTTTCCATGCTCCTTTGATGAAAAGTCTTGCTAAATTTTGCCATCTACCTGTATATGTAACTGATTATGTTTCTTGATTTAGGGATTAAGAAGTCAATGAAAAAGTTATCTGAGCTGGAAGACAAAGTCAATCTTAGCAAAATGTTAATCCATGGATTTCATTACATCTGAATCTGCTTACTGTATCTGACTATTAATATTTAATGCTTGAATGTATAACGGATTATGAAATTTAAACAAAAACTATATTGGTTTATATAAATATGTAGATCATACAGCTCCTGTAGATAGAAAATAACTTCAAAAAGACAAATTAATTCTCAAGTAGGGAGATCTTTTTCCCCACTTATGTCCTACCTGAATCCTTAATCTAGGGTGTTTTAATATCTTACGGAGCTTTGCATTTGCAAATTCCATCTTTAGAGAGCACATTAAAATCCCTACTCCTGCTCCCTGAGAAACTGATAAAAATGTTGGTCTTAGTTTTGAGAGGAACTGTATTAAACCCATAGTAATAGGTCAGCTTGTGTGTTATTTCTGAAGATTTTTGCACTTTCATGTATAAATCTTAAGGTAAAAAATCCTCATCTAGGAGCTAGAGTAGGGTAGACTCTGCAAGAAGTCCTCAGCTAATACTGAGTGGTTCATGACAGCTGTGCAGTGTGAGTTGTGGGAGGAATTGTCCTCAGACTCCTTCAGTGATCAGATCTCCTCTCTAGCATCGCAGGAAAACATTGGACACAGCTGGTGCAGTCAGTGGTGTTGAGTTCGCGCATCAAAAGTCTTTGAAGATGAAATGCCCCAAGGTTCTCATGGGTGATTGGCACATGAGCCCTATGGGGAAAACATCTGCTCCTCAAACCAAATGAGATTACCGTAGAGCTGTTGCTTTCTCAATGTATATTCCATAAAATGGAAGTTGGGCAAAGTTTATGATTTGTTACTTCATCTGTAGTTTGCATCTTTTATTTCAGTAGTATTTAACGTGTCCATCTCCATTCTTTTTCATTCTCAGAATAATCCAATTTGCTTATCAAGTTCTCTTTCTTTCTCTTTTTCTCTTTTTTCTCTTTCCCCCCCCCTCTTTTTCCCTTTCATCCAGATGGAATGCCATTTGCTTGGTGGGTTGGCCGTGCCAATGAAAAGCATCTTTACTGGGGAGGATCTCTTCCGGGCATTCAACAGTGTGCATGTGGACTGGAAGAAAGTTGTCTGGATATGAGATATTTTTGCAACTGTGATGCAGATAGAGAAGAATGGTAATATTTTTAACGTGTACAGTAGTGTCTGTGTGCGAGGTGGGGGTAGGAAGTAGGGCAAGAAGGTTTATTTTTTTCCTGATTCACAGCTCTGGAAACTTGAATGGCTGGAGTATGATCAAATGAGAATGGAAGTCAAACTAGAATTTGGACTTCTGATTTCATCTTACATTTCTTATATGAACCAAAGACAAGATATCTGGTTGAAGCAGGCTGCTGGGATGGGTTGTCTTCAAAAAATCTTTGTTGTTGAATGTCAAATCCAGTCATTTCATTTGTTTAAAATTTTTCATTGATTCAATTGGAGCATTCCATGAATAAAAGCTCTAAAAGGTTGGTGCATCAGTATGCATCAGAGCAGAAAAACCAGGCAGAGAAAGCAAAATTTAGGTGCAGACAGCTAAAGAACAAGAAATCTGTACTATTAAAAAGACTTTTTCATATGAAACAGTACATCTCTATGTGCCTTAGCTTTCCTTTATGTTGGGTCCGAAGATTTTTAGTCAGTGGAAAGACTTCCTTTGGCTTCTGTAGCTTTTGATTCAGTTTCCATAGGAGGCTTTAGATTTACAGCATGAACTTTCAGAGTCTTCCTCAGGTTCAGACCTTTGTTGTGTCCCGATGCTGCATGAATTTGCGAAGGCCATCTCACAACCTTCTCCCATTCTCTGCATCTTCAGAGACTCTCCAGCAGCTGAGAGCTAGTTGGTAAACTTTCCAATTAATTCCATACTTGTGTTGGAGGGGACAGAAATGCCAAATGAGTGTTGTTGAGAGTACAATTTGAAACACTCTGAAAAGACATGTGAAAACTCTGCTTCACCCTCTCTTCCTTCTGGACCACTCACTGATAGGAGCTGCTTCTCTTTCTCTAAAAAAAGATATTTTAACCTCGGATTTCTTTGGGAAGATCTTTATGTAAATGTTGGTTTATGAGTGAGATTTGTATAGAAGGGCCTGACTGTGCATGTTAATCTATCTTTTCTTTAATGTTTGATTATCAGATGCACTTTGCTGAGGTTTGCACATGAGCATCAAAGGCAACTGTTTTTACTGGTGCTTCACTCTTTTCATAAGCCACATTTTGGTTTTCAGTGAGCTACTACTCAAGCAGAGCAGGGTGTATTACACTGGCAGAGCATTGGGGCTATAGTCTGAGACGGCAGGATGGTGCACCACTAGATTGTACAAACCAATGCAAGGTGAAAGCTAAAGGCAGTTTTATGATGTTTCAGTTGAGTCTCCTAAGGAAACAAGACCTAAGCGAGTTATGCTGTGGATGTTTATCTCTGTTTTCCCCCACACCCAATGATTTTGAACGAGCAGGCACATTTCAAACGTCCTTAACAGAGAAAGAGAAATCTCAAAAGTATTATAAATTACACATTCTGTGAAAATTTATGCCAGGCTGAGGGGAAAAAGCCAATTAAAACCCACAAGAAGGAAGTTAAGGAAGCATACACTTTTATTAGATTTTGGAAAACCCTCATGGGAGAGAGATGTTGGAAATCATGCTTCATTAGCTTGGCAGCTCACAGAGCTACTTGTTTCTCCTAATTTCATGATAACAGGATATGCATAGAAGTTTTCTCAGCTAAACTGCCTACATGTTTGTTGGTTTAGGGGTTCAGGTGTTTTGTTTTGGTTTTTAATCTATTTGAAATTTGGACTTTGGTATTATTCTAAATTGCAGATTACCATTTTAAAAGCTAAAAAACCCTTGACCTTTACAAAGAGATTCTAAACATAAGACATTTCATGCCTCTTGAAGACTGCTTTTGTGCCTCTCTGCTAGAACACTGACTCCCTGATATATAATGAGCATTTGAATCTGAAACCTGCTGAGATCTGAACTGTGACTTTAACCTGCTATATATTATAGTGGAAGGAGCAAGACAGCAGTAGATGCATTTATTTGCCTTAGCATGAAATAAAATGGGTGCTGCAGAGTGGAAAACTAGAAAATCATTTTCACTGCTTTTAGATAAATCAGGCTGCTCACTGCAGCTCTGAGGTAGGAACTCACCAGAACAGCTGGAGTGTCCTTCTGAGAGGAGATAGGCTTAGGATTTTGCTTTGATTTGGTTTCCCTAGCATAAGTCTTGGGTGCAGAAGCAGCTACTAATTTCTCAGAGCTGCAAAAGAAACAGAAAACAAGAGAAAACAGACCTGAAAAAAGTCCTGAGCCAGGTGTTTGGCAGCAGACAATATGCACTTCTAGACATGCTGGCTTTTAAATTATATCTAAGCAGACACCTGAGCCAGCTGTTATCTCTGGGCTCTTACTTGACACCAGGTTAGTCCCCCTGGAGTTATGCTGCCCAGATGAACAGGAATATAATTGGTTGCATGCTATATGGGGAAGGCTTTTGTATTTTTCATCTTGCTTTTTATTGAAGCATTCTAGTGAAAAATACCTTTTTCCATCCAGCTCCTTGCCATACTTCCAAACTCTGCAATACGAGGACAGCTAATTCTATCACTGCAGGATAGTGGAGCATCTTCATGGTATTTTCTGGAGAACGGGAGAAGACCTCTGCTGAGGGAACAGAGGCATAAGTTGTCACACTGACCCAAGCAAGGCATCTAGAAAGGTGTTAAACGTGACTTGACTGTAGTTTATGCATGCCTCCAAAAATGAGAGATTCCTGACCCTCTTGTTAGTGGGTGGGAACATTCATAGAAATCTAGTGGCTGTAGGCTGAAGCTAAATCTAATTCAGAAAATGTTCTTACTCTCGCTTCCCATTCTCAAACACTGAGAATAGTTAACTGTTGGAACAAGTTATGTTTAGATGAGACATATTTGCAATTGTTTTTCAAAAGATATGCCCTGTTTCAAACAGAAGGGGCATTCTTGATGCAGGCATTATTGGGGAAAAGTGTTAAACTGATCTAAGGAATAAAACAATTCTGAAGTGCAGACAGGGTTGTGTTGTCTTAAGTCCATTCTAGAGGTCTTTTGGATCTTTAAATACCTCTCCCAGGTTGTCTTTCATCTCAAGCAAAATTCTCTTGCCTTGGCAATGAAAGTCTTACTGCTCACTAAACTTTTCATTTAAACGGGAGGAACCTCTTTCATGCCACGGTGGTGCGTGACTGCCCTGAAGTGCATTTGGTCTCCCTGTCTGGAATACATTTTCCATTTCAAATGCAAACACTTGATTGAAGCTAGTCATCAAACTAAACCTATTATTTACTGACTGCTTTCACCAGGAAACCTTGTGAATTTGGAGAACTCTACAGCTTTTTGTTTTGTACAGCTTTGTATTTTAGCGGTATCTCTGGAAGTCTTTTTATAAGGAAGCTCAGACACCTGAGCAGAGTGTGGTGGATGGTGTTGATTCCAACCAGTAGCTGATTTGCCATCTTTTATTTTTATTCTCCAGTCTTAATATTCAAATTGTAGGACTATCCTCTTCTTTTATCTTCCAGAACAGGCTTAGTTCCCCGGTGAAGAAGGCTTTCAGTCTTCCTATTTTCAAAGCAACATGTATTCACTTCTTTACCATGCTTTTGGGGTACTGCAAGCAACAAGGAAACCACCGGATATGAAAAGAAGTGGAGGGGAGAAAGGGAGAGGGGATATTACTGTTGTCAGACCCACTTTGGCTCCCAGAGATATATTGAGCATACCCAGCTTTGTTCGAGGAGGAGCAAAGCCACGTGGAAGCAAATGTAGCCCTCTTTGGACAAGCTATATTTGTGCAAAGCTGTGCCAGAACCAGGATGCTAAAACTTGAAAGGCTGAGGAGAGCAAGGCAGAGAAACTAGCCATTGACAAGCCCAGATTTGACAGGTTTTGTTTGCTCAGCCACTATCCCACATTGAATCCATTCTCCCAGAAGCAGCACAAGCAACTCCACAGAGCCTGTGAGCTCATAAATAAGCCCTGCTGGAGGTGGCCTGGCCTGTATAGAGCTGTCTTGGATATCTGCCTTCATGACTGCATTTGTCAACAAACTAGAAAAGCTGCCTGCAGAGAGGTGACTGTAGCAGCCCCCTGAGGTGTCAGGAATCAGTTTGTTACTACCATTACCAAACTCTTTCTCTCTACCTCTTCTCTAATTCAGAAAAACAGAGCCACTGCATCTTGCCTTCAACCATTAGGTATGTCCCCTTCTGCTGCTGTTTTTTTCTTTATTGTGTCTCTACATTATTGTACCCAGTAAAGCAGCTGGTGATTAAGAGAGCAATTAAAATGTATTCCGTTGGATTATTAATGATATGTCCTGCACAGGGCTCAAAACTTTTTCTGATGGAAGCTTGTTTCACTGACCCATTCCTCATGCGGTTCATTGACATCTGCTAATGATAGTATTCTTTTCCCCAAATGTACTGTATTCATTAAAATCTGTACTGAATATCTGAGCTACTGAGGCTCAGACCCCACCAGAGTTTTCATTAATGTACAAGAAGAAAACGTACCAATAGGGGATCATATGACAAGAAATTATATTTAATGGCACCACTGCTCTACCATCTGTTGGAAAAAATATGGAAACAGCTATCAAGAGATTACCAATTTATGATGGCTTACACTGTTAGGATACCATAGAGTGAGATTTTTTTGAGCATGGTTTTATTAGTAGCCAGGAAGAAGAGAAATAGTCTCATAATGTTACCATCAAAATAGTTATTTGTCATTTACTGGTAAGACTACCTGTACTACATCTTAAAGTATCCAGTTGCTGCACTACCACCTTTAGCATTGCTGCGTGTGCAGTGAAATTTTTTTGTTCTTTTTTTCCTTCACCCCTCTTCCCTCATACACAGAGCATTTGTTTGATGTGTAACATGCCTCATAGTGTATTGGGGAAGTCCTTTGGGTAGATACAGAAATTAATCTTCAGACATGGATAAATAGATGACATCCAACTGTATTTAATACTCTAAAAATATTTCAGTGATGTAATTTAAAGGGCATTATTGGATTTGTTTTGTTTGTGTTTTGCTTGTGGGAAGTACAAATTGATACTACCCGTTATGCAAAGAGCTCAGAGAAACATCTGTTCATTGAAGGTGCTTTCCACCCTCTGCAAAACATTCAGGTTTTAATCTGAATTTGTGCTAAATTGAGTGCCAAGTCAGGTAAGCAGAAGGTCTACTTACCAAGTTTATTAATTTATTTGTACCTTTTTCTGCATGTACAGGACTCTTTTCAGGAAAGAGATAAAATCTGCTTTGATTTTTGTGAGATCAGGACTTAACTTGCATTCCTGGCCAAGGAGCATCATGCCCCAGGTCCCTTCTGTAGGCAGGACCCACCCATAGTTCTCAATATTGAGAAGCGGGGCATAGCTTGGTACAAAAGGCATGCTTGGTGGAAGTGGTCACAGAGTGCCATGTGAAACCTGTTAAGAGAAACAAAGTAGTGATTTTGGCTAACCTGAGAAGCAGTTATGGAAAACCAAATATAATCTGTTTTTAAGTGTATGTGAACTAGTAAATTATAATACATATAAGTAAAAAGTAGCTCTGGGAACAGATACAAAAATAATTAATGTAACGGTTTTATATTTGTTAAAAGACAAAATCATGTATGCACACATCCTAGTACAGATGCTTTCTGTCAGAAAATAGCACTTTTTTTTTGAAAACTGTAGTACATTGAAAGTGATCCCCAAGCCCCCTTCAGGCAAAATTCCAGATGTTTTGTCCAAATGCTGGAATATCTGTATTTTGTAGTGCCACAGCAGTGCGTCCAGGAAATTAATGGTACAGGTACATGAAGCTCTCTTGCTCCTCTCTGAGACATAATACACTACATTTGGAAGGCTGCCATGGTGTGCCATGTAAAGAGAAGAGGAATTGTGGTGCTTTGTAAGAAATCGAGTCTGAAATAAGTTCAACTAAAGAATAGCAGGAATTTAAGACACTGAAACTTTAGCTCCCGTGAGGGCCTGCATAGTGTCTTCAAATCTCTTTTCTGCTTTTCTTAGCTGAAACATCTTATGTGTTGACTTTTCACCAAAAACTTGATTTCTCACCATGAAATAATAATAATAAACTGCAACAATGGGTACATTGTTCCTGTCATTAACACATTCTCTGAACGACAGAATGTTTTTCTGTTAGGTTTTATTTCAGTATCTGCTTGTGTGAGAATACATATCCTTACACAAGTCTTTTTTTCTCTGTGTGAGAGAATAAAATACAAAAAATGTTCTGTTTGAGCTTCAAGAGAAACTTGATTGAGTTTTCAAGGCATTAACATAAAAGAGAAGATTTTTATTAGTTTTAGAATATTTTTCTTTCTCACAGTTGAGCTATGCTACTAAAGTTCTCTGTGCCACTGGCATATAACTAGTAAAAACTCAGAGCCATAAAATTCAATATAAAAGAACTTCATGCAATATAACAGAATATCTAATAAGCAGTACAGTTTTCAGAAATATGGAATAGATATCTTTAAAATGCCACCATTTCATTTTTTTTGTATCTATCTTCAGTAGTAGCTGTAGGAAGATACCGATTTTTATTTTAATGCTGATCATAGCTAGTCAAAAGACTGCACTATTTTTTGAGTGAAAATAAATTTGGAGGAAACCTGACTAAATATTTTGTGATTTTTTTAAAAATTATTTTTTAAAAAGTAAATGCCAGCTTAGTTATTCATGTGTATATTGCATATTTTATGTCCTCTTTCTGTGCATCTTTCTGCCTTTTTTTCACTCATTCTGCCTACTCTTCTTCCTCCCAACCACTGAAACACTTTATTTCATTATCTTCCAAAGAAATACTCAAATAGTTCAGCTTTTGTTGCAAATGTTTCATAATCTGTTGAGAGCATTTACAGTAACTTTCACAGATTGATACAGTAAGCTATATGAGTATGTGGCTGAGAGACCTCTGTGAAGAGATTTGAAGATCATGTACTTTTGATTCATACATGCTATTTTTCCTTCTGAGTCCGTACTGAAGGCATCACTCTGCCTCATGCCTGGGAATTTCATCTTGCTGCACTTTGTCTGTAATTATCTGCGTCTCAGACACCCATTGAAGCAAGAAAAAAACGTTAGGGTTGGAGAGGGTATCTCTCCTTTTCCCCTTGGAATTATGAGACAATTAACTGTGCTGCATGCAATTAGAAACAATGAAAAATAAATTAAATGTGTGCAGCCTTTATCAAAAAGATCAAAATACCCCTTCTGTTTTTTTCTAACATTAATCAGAGTAGAGCACTTAGCCAAGCAAACGTCCAAAGTTGTGTGTCAGAGCACAGGTGCAATGTTCATCCTGATTATTCTTTCATTCCCAAAGTCCTGTGTCCCTTCCCACAGCTGGAACTATAATGAGAGGTACGTTTGTGGAAAGTGGCATTGTGAGCAGCACATAGGTAGTCTAAGATCCTGGCTGGGATGTCAGACTCTTTGGCAGTGGTATCACTCAGAAAGTAATACCTGTTTTCTGAGGCTTTCTATCACACCTGCCTAAAAGAGCAGTGAGTGTAAATTTGGGATTATTCGCATTTGGATCTGGTCATTGTTGCCATCCCCATGTGCGGCATGTAGTCTTTCACCTCCGAGCAGGCAGTTGTGTTGAGTCCAGACCCTGCATGCAGATTGCTGGGCCATGCAAAGGTAGGCATCCTTTTCTCCAAAACTACTGAGATTCAACTCCACAAAGGATGCTCTGCCAGACTTATGTGCCCAGATGCACAGCAGACCTTAACCCTGAGAAAAAGAGCTAGGAGAAGAAGAAACTCATCACTGTGGAGATAAGATATGGTAGCACGTGCCTCTCTATAATCCATCAATAGAGAAGTACCTTGAGAGGGCAGTTCAGTTCTGTTAAGGTCAGGGTTGGATGTTTGAGGGACTCAGTTCTGTTCATGAAGTACAGTGAGATGAATGCACATCTGCATACACTGCCAGAGTCAAAGCCACTGTATCAGCTTAGGGACCAGAAGGCTGCCATGAAATGTTGTGTGGCATTTTGAGGACAGCAATTTGCACAGCAGACTCAGAGTAAAAGCAAATGAATGATCCTTTAAGAATCTTTCTTTCTTTTGTCTTTGTTTCTAACAGCCATGTGTAAGTTAGTCGCAACTGAAGAATAAGCCCAGCTGATACAAACAGGAGACTGTAGTTCGACAGTGCAGTAAATCAGCCTTCAGTACTTCAGTTGCTGAACCAAAATTTCCACAGGTGCATAATGCAAAGAGCTGATTCAGTCCAAACTCACTCTGCCAATTCAACCGTCTTTGCAGTGTGCCGAGTCAGTTGTGTACCAGCCATCTTGAAGTTGGATCGGGTATTGTCTAGCTGGCCCCGCTAACAGCATGCTGGATCAGGTGTCATGTGTCCTCTTCCTGCTCAGATAAAGCATAAAGCCAGCATAAATGCTATTATCTGTCTCCAGCTAACTTAACAGAAATGCAAAGTTGGACGTATACCTGATCAAATTAATCCTCCTGAGGAAACCCTGTAGAGCCCAGTTTACATTAATGCCCATGGGGCAGAATGGCTGCACTCTGCCTCGGCTTCACAATCATTCTGTACAGCTGAAACACAGTTACAGTCCACACCAGACAGTATCAGGTAACCAAATACAGTGTCTTCAGTGGTCAGTATTAAGTATGAGCATAGAGCATACATGTGCACATATGTATCTTAGGCAGTGTGTACCGGTCACAATTCTTGTAGGTAATTCTGCAAAAGACCTTTCATCTTTAAGTAAACATCTTTCGAACATTGCCTTGCATAAGGAATGCTGGGGATTTTGTCTGTGGTTAATCTGTCTCTTTCTGTTTGTTTATTATAATCCAGGACAAACGATACCGGCCTCCTTGCTTTCAAAGACCATTTGCCTGTAACTCAGATAGTGATCACTGACACAAACAGATCAAATTCTGAGGCTGCTTGGAAAATCGGCCCTTTGCGTTGCTATGGAGACAGTGAGTACTAGCTCTTCTCAATTTCCATAGGTACAGCATGTTCCCTCTTTCTTTTTATTTTGTTTTGGTTTGGTTTTTTTAAACGTATTTCTCTGATGAAAGGTGGCTTTCCACATACAGCTCTCAGCTGCTGTCCTGTGTCAATTAACTATAGAGAAGGGGGTTGTGTTTGCAGGGCAGTTCTGGAATGCCGCTTCCTTCAACACAGAGGCCTCCTACCTGCATTTCCCCACCTTCCACGCCGAGGTCAGCGCAGACATCTCCTTCTTCTTCAAGACTACTGCTGTCTCTGGGGTATTCTTGGAAAACCTTGGGATTAAAGACTTCATACGAGTGGAAATAAGCTGTAAGTTTCACTGCTGAGAAATCTTGGTGTATTTCCCCAATTTGACAGATGCAGGGTAGTGGGAAGGACATATTTTCTTCTGTCTTGACACGGTTGGAGGTGCCTGAAGAGGATAAAATGGAGACATAAAGACTCATTAATCTAGATTTATCTACTTCTCCTGTCAGAGTTTCCCTGTATAGCCTTGGTCATTACACTTAGTCTTGTTATACCTAGGTTTATCTTTCTTAAACAAACAAGTGACTGAATTTACTTTTTCAACACTGATTTTTTTTTTTCTCTTTAGAGAAAAAGCTACTGGTTAGATGTACCTGTAGACTATAATTTTAGTTGAAAGATAAAAAGTTTAATACAACCACTCTGATGGTTACTTTTATTTCTATATCAGCAACGTACCCAATCTGATGCAGCCCTAGTGTTTCAGAGGAACTCAGTGTGTATGGTAAAGCTATTAGATGAGAGTCTATGAAGGACAGGATGCTAATGCAAGATAAGTCAGTCACAGTTGTAATGGGTCTTGAGTACTTCAAAGTCTAGTGACTGCAGTATAACTGCTACTCAGTATATAAAGGAGAGTAGCATGAAAATTAGTGAGGTTTTGCCTCACTCCTGTACCGATGACTTCAAATATTTATTAGTGACAAAAAGAGTAGTCTGTCTTCGACATGAAATATGACTTCTGTATTCCAAATTCTGTCAAGCTTAGGAAAAACAAACCGACTGCTATGCATTTTATAATATGCTTATAATAACCCCAACATAAAATTTAATAAAACAGGGCCCCAAGGCCCTTCGATTCATTAAACCAATGGTAAATGTCATGGTGCATTATCACAAGGTAATGAGGTATGATTTACTGTTAATTGCACATCAAAGTCCAATTTGGCTGTACTTCAGTGTACTGCGTTTCATTCTCAGGGATATAGAAGTACAAATGGTGTTTTGATATAAAATATAACAAATACTGTAAACTAGTAAGAGGATTGTTTAGTGAATGCTTTTCCGCATGTGTTAAGTGTATACTCCTAGAGAAATTAGTTATTTAAAAGTTTGGGGAAAGTCTTGTCTTTTAAACTTAGGTTTCTCATTAGTAGTTTGGTGGTGTGTTTCTTGCTGCCAGATGGAATTTGCAGCCTAGAGGCCTTGTATCAAGGAAGCTCCACAGACCAGCTGCTTCGAAGGGAAACGGCCTTTTAGCAGATGCAGGAGCTCAGAATAGATCTTTGTCTATCCCTATGGAGTGTTTCCTATCTTAACTATCTAAGAAGCAGCTTCCAAAACCAGACCTATCCAATTTGTTGGGCTTGAAATAACAGATTTTTATGAATTTTCAATCCACGACTTTCTGGTTCTGTGTTCTGTGGATGTGGTTCTTGGCTTTTCTGGTGTATTTAACATTTTAGGAAGAGGAAAAATAATCAGTAGCAAGAATGTTAAAATTTTTGGCCCCTGTCAGGCTTCCAGCAGAGCAAGATGGACTCCTTTATATGGCTGTTGTTTTTCAATTATCATTCTGTTTCTAGGAGCCTTACTGTCTCTGGACGTATGTTTCATATGCCTCTTTAGGATCACCAGTGAACTAGTTTTGCTCATCTGTTTTTTCTTGCTTCTTGGATCAGGCTTATTCAGGGAAACAAATGCTTGTAGGATTCTCTGTCATATGCAGCCAAGGTCTGTAATTGTTAAGTACATGCATTTTGAAAGATTTAGTCAGAAAGAGCTCCTTCTTCCTTTCTCCCATCTTAGCATTATTTGTCCAAAATCTTTTGCTACCACTGTGTGATTTTTGTACAACATTTGGCACTTTTACTTCAAAAAGAGAACTACTATTTCTAGAATGCTATAATTGTTATAGCAAAAAAAGATGGGTAGCCACAGCCAAGCATAATCACAGCAGAGATCAGACAATGAGGCTGTAGGCTTAGATTTATGTATAAGCTGCTATGTAGGAGATGGGAGGTAAATGATGCTGTACGATTTGCTGACATAAAAGTTAATGGACCCTGTATTTATGTAAGATTTCTTGATGTCAAAACCACAATTTAATTCAGACCTTCACTTCCTCTTCACATCTGTCTATCTATTCCAGCCCCCAAAGAGATCACCTTCTCCATAGATGTCGGGAATGGCCCCACAGGAGCTACTGTGCAGTCTCCCACACCGCTGAATGACAACCAGTGGCACTACGTCCGAGCGGAGAGGAACCTCAAGCAAACCTCTCTCCAGGTGGACAGCCTCCCCAAGAAGGTCCTCGAGGCACCTGCTGAAGGGCACTTTCGCTTGCAGCTCAACAGCCAATTATTTGTAGGTAGGGACCATTAAGGGTTTCTGTAGATATGTACAATATTAGTATGTCCATACCTTGGTAATGCTATTGTTTCACCATTGAGCTTGCACGTGGTGACCTAATTGTGCTTTCTCTTCTTCCACTCCTGCATAGGCAACATAAAGTAAACCCAAACTACTGCCTTTACACTCAAAGCACTAACCATAGTTTAACCATACTGTACTAGATGGTAATTTTAGGGTTTAAGATTGCTTGAAACATATTTGTTGCCAAAGAATTCATAGTATTTCTTCTTGTGCGGCACTGGCTGTGTAATTTGCTGTAGGAAATGTGATCTCTCTTTTTAGATGCAATGTAAAATGCACAAATTCATCCTGTAAGTTTTGGGGCAAAGCCTGATGACAGTATGGTCTTAAAGTCTACTCCTTCAAGCATGCCTGCCAAAACCTTTATTTGGCCGTAGAGTGTATATGTGAGAGAACTATGAACACAGTCAGAGCATATACAGTTATTTTAATTGAAGGTGATATTTCAAAGGGCTGGGGGGGAGAGAAAAAATCTGTTTGCATATAGTTTGTTTCCCTATCTCCCTTGCAAATGAAACCTAGATTGGGACCAGCTTGTATTTGATAATATAATCAGGGATTACAAAGGGACTTCTCCCTTTTCTATATTCAAACACTGTCTTTCTAAGTAATCTGCTCAGTGATTGAGTGGGTTGTAACCTGCTTCTTATTCAGGGCCACTTAGGTAACTGCTGATTCTTTCCTTAAAATGGATTCTCTTACTAAGCTGAAATGCTATAGCAAACCTCAATCTGTCAAATCATTTTAATAAAGTTTACTCACGTATGCACACTCTTTGATTTAAGAAGTTTTTGGGGTATTTATTTGACCTTTTTATAGTGTATGTGTGCAGAAATTACTGGGCTCTGAACGTAAGGAATAAATCTGTTAATAAATAGATATAGCTCCATCAATTGCCAGGAGTCCTTCCCCCATAGCTGTTGATTTACACCTAAAATGATCTCTGATAGACTCTGTTGGAGGAAAGTTCACTGAAGAAATCACAGAAGGGAGGCTTCAGACTGTCACAGTGCAAGGTTTCTGTTTTCTGGTATGATGCTTGCTACTAATTACTTGTTTCTCAAATGCTAAGATGGTCCTAAGAACATGTTCTGTGGGAGGCCAGGCCTGAAGGCAGTAGAGTTGGGCTGCTAGACACCTTGGAAACATCAAAGTGTTTCCAGTGAGAAAACCCAGAGAATTTAATGACTGGATAGACTCTTGCAAATTTTTGATTGTGTCTTTTTAAAGGAGTAAAAATGAAGGATTTATCATAAGTCATCTATCAGATATGTCATATATATCAACTGCTTACCATCTCACATCTGAAAAGCAGTATCTACCTATAAGCTTGCTTCTCTGCCTCAGCAAAATAAACAGGTTACCTGAACGAACTTCATGGTGGTTTTAAAGTGACATAACTGATGAATTGCATCATGGAAATCCACTATAATTAAGGACCTCAACAGAGAAATGTGCTGACAGGAACCCTTGTCAGCAAAGACAAATGCAAATCCCTGCTCCTGGGGCAGAACAGCATCATGTATCTGTACAAGCTGGGGATTGAGTGGATGGGTATCAGCTGTGCAGAAAAGGTCCCATTGGTTTCAGTGAAGTGAATCTGTACCTCGTCTGAATGTAGCCGTGCTTTGAGGAACAGGTTGGACCAGTTGATCTCCAGCAGTGACTTCCAACCTAATTTTTTCCCTGATTGTACTTAATATTTACAGTAAACTCTAGGACATAGTTACTTTATCTCAGCCAAGAGGTGAAAAGTTCTCACTGTGCAGTAAATAGATTGCATTCAGTTGTCCATCCACGGTTTTACTGGACCGTGAACAAAAGGGACAGAAAACCTAATGTTTTTAGGAGTGCTTTTTCAGCCTTTAGCTGTGCCATATTGAGGGCCAAAACTGTCCGTGACTTCCTGAGTTTTCTTAAGAGCAGTCAGAAGAGATGGAAACCTGGGCAGCCTCCTGATTCTAACACTGTTTGTCCCCACGTGTTCCAAGGAAAGGTGGCAGAAGTCCAACAATACACAGATGTGGCATAATTTGTCTCTACTAAAGGTCTCATTCCAATCTCTAATAGGAAGCAACTGATTTAATGCCTCAACCATGCAGAGTGAATTTTATCCCATCTGAAAAATAAATGCATAAACAACATTGTAAAAAGGAAAGAAGCAGCAGCACATAATATTGCTCCCTGCTCTCCCTATCATCCACAACATATTTGTTTCTGCAGCATTCTGCATACTGACAGTGATTAACGGGTTTTCACAGTTAGTATGCACATTCTTAATTAATAATCTATATAACTGGTGTGATTTGCTATTTTAAAAATGTTCCAAATGTTTTTTATTTAATCTCCCTGTTTTATTCCATTTAAACATGGAACTTTGTTTCCACACTGGAGGTAGCTAGTCATTAAGATACAACCTTTTTTTTTTTCTTGATCCTTCTCCAGAATCAATTCAAATATTTTATAAATGTCATAAATAAGGCTCAATGTCAAAATTTAATTTAGTTTATTTATCTTCTGGAAGGATTTATTGATCCTTTGGGATGAAGGAACTATATTAGTATCATGTAGCATTATGATGATGATCGAACGGAGATCCACTGTAGCTTTCAAACTACAATTATTTTCCTGTTGCTTCAGAGACAGACATCAGCCTATATGCAGTATATGTGAGGCAGTTTTGTGTATTTTACTTTTAGGGAGTTATATACAGTTGATCACACATACAAAATAAATGTGGACATTTGTAAAATTTGACTACAAGGGCAGTTGGCATATAACATCATTTTAAAGGAGTTCTGCTAATTTGGATCAATTAATTCCTTGTCAACTGTTTCTGCCTGTTTTATGAATGAGTTATTTACTTTTCTTTTGGCCAGATTTTTCCTTCTTAACCCAAAACCCAGATGTATTTGGGACTGGATGTAACAGAAGAGTATAGCGCTTGGTTTTTTATGTTAGTTTGTTGGTTTGTTTTTTTTTAAAGTTGGCTCATCAAATAGACTTTTTACTTTCTATGACTCATAGTAAAGGAAGTTGAACAGAAGCTTTCTCCAGCAATGATAACAAAACAGTCAATTGTAGGCAGTCATGGAGCTGTGCTTCATTCACTTCTGATCCTGCGATTTTGACACGTTGTGAGGAAGTTAATCAGGCCTTAAATACTTTGTAAGGATGAGAGTTAATGCTGTGGTTTAACCCCAGCTGGCAACTGAGCACCACACAACCTTTTGCTCACTCCTCCCCAGTGGGATGGGAAAGAGAATCAGAAGACTAAAAGTGAGAAAACTTGTAGGTTGAGATAAAGACAGTTTAATGGGTAAAGCAAAAGCTGCATGTGCAAGCAGAGCAAAACAAGGAATTCATTCACCACTTCCCATCGGCAGGCAGGTATTCAGCCATCTCCAGGAAATCAGGGCTCCATCATGTGTAGCGGTTACTTGTGAAGACAAATGGTGTCACTCCTAGCCTACACCCCTTCCTTCTTCTTCCCTCAGCTTTATATACTGAACATGACATCATATGGTACAGAATATCCCTTTGGTCAAGTGGGGTCAGCTCTTCTGGCTGTGTCCCCTCCCAACTCCTTGTGCAACCTCAGCATCCTCGCTGGTGGAGTGGGGTGAGGAGCAGAAAAGGCCTTGACTCTGTGCAAGCACTGCTCAGCAGTAACAAAAACATCCCAGAGTTATCAACGCTGTTTCCAGCACAAATCCAAAATGTAGCCCCATACTAGCAACTACAAAGAAAATTAACTCTACCCCATCTAAAGCCAACAGAGTTAAGAAGGCCTGACTTTCCTTGGAAGTTTATCTTCAGATTTACTGACTTAGATATTTTAGGAGATTTAGGCTTTCACTTAAGATTTTCCAATGACTAAGCACAGGGAAGGATTTCTGTTTTACGTGTGTAGGTTGTTTTATGCCCAGTAAGGGATGAATTCACACTTCCATCTTCCTGAGTGGAGACCTTGATGCTGTTTCTCTCTTATTTATCCTGCCACCAGTTTTCTTGAAATATGGGAGAACATAATATTCTCTCTCTTAAATTTGGGCAAGGAATTAAAAAAGACTGGATTCAGAGATAAAAATATACCACATGTGTGAGCAAATATTCTCTTCAGTAAGAAACAAAACCAAAAAACACAAATCACAACAACTACCTAGTCCTTTTAGATGGAGAAAACACTGGTTGTGAACTAATGCAAAGCTATGTCCTGAAGACTGTGAAAAATGTGAACTTGAGTTGTCTCAAAGGGATACTAACTGATATATAATGACAGTGAGTTCAGTGTTTGGATGTCATAGTTACTTATTCCAGCAGAAAAATCCAGATATTCAGAGACTATAATAGAACGTGGGAGTCTCACCGTGACTTACATTGTCCCTATGCTAATTTTGAGTTGTGCATGTTCTTGAACTTAAGCCTGTCTGGGTCATTGCTAGGGTAAAATCAATTTTCAACTTGCTCTATGTACCTAGGTGTAACCATGGGTGTGTTTAATGTTCTTAAAACTGCATTTCTATGGAGTATCTCTGAATGTTAGGCATGTCTTACTGGGTTTGAACTCACTTTACATTACTTGAATTAACAGTCCTATATGTGAGAAAGCTCCTTCACTCACTTCTGGCCTTGATAAGCGTAAATTAGCCGTTATTCATTATCTGCACACTAATGCACCCAAAAATACTTCCATTTTGGAGCTGGTACAACATCGCAGATAGAGAAGTTCACACGATTTACATATCCTGGAAAGATGCACTCATGTGGTGATTTCTGTTTACCCTAAAGTCTCTTTTAGGCATTGATATTATATAAAAGGAATTGATAGAGCTGAGAATCAGATCCCTCTTCCCATATGCTCAAACTATTAATTGTATTCACAGAAATGATGGAATTTAGGTGTCATTTCTTTCCATACCACTTGTTCTCCATTCAGTTCTGCCCTGCCACCTTTCATTGCACTGTTTTGTGTTTGATTCAATGGTCTTGGCTGTTCTTGCATCTTGCTGACATGGTATCTGCCCTGCACATCTGTCTTTGGGGGATGTGCCCCTTGGGGTAACAGAACCTAAGCATTTGCTCTGGCCAGCATGCCACAAGTGTAAGAAATTGTCATTACCTGATGTTCCGAGGATTCCACTGCAGTGATTTCTTATACACATTGTTGAAAATAAACCATAGAAAATAGCTACCTTCTTACTGGATCTGTCTGGAGGTAAAACCAAAAGATGAGAATCAAAATGGTGATGTTCAAATCTAATATGTCTCCTTTTATCTCCTCATCCATAGCAACACAATGTGACAAGATTCAAATTTGCAATTCTTGTTTTATTCCATCACTTCCTATAAATATCTGACTTCTTCCAGTTATGGTTTCTTTCTGTTATGGAGAAACAGTTCTTCATAGTCAGGAAGAGACAGAAGTGTAGATTAAGTAATGTTTGTATGATTAGCTGTTGTGTTAAATATGTAATTGACTCACAAGGCACTTATGTATTTATCTATGTAGTACCAGAAAGAGTTTTTCTACAGCTACACTTGTTGCAATAACAGAATAAAGACAGAAAGTCTGCTTAAGGACAACATTGGCACACATGGAGTACGTGGCAAGCTTCTGAGATATCTTTCTGTGTGTGCAAAGTGGAAAGGAGAAATTACTTTTAATTGCCAGTACACTCAAAATCAAACAAACTTGAATTTTAAAGCAACCTAAAGGAGTTAGAAAACCATTTCTCACTTTCTTTTACTGGGTCTTGTGTATCTAACTGCTTTAGGCTGCTTTATAATCTTTAGTCACAGCATGGATATCCTTGCACCTGGCTATGTTTCTTCTGTTAAAGAAATTACAGTAGAAGGAGCAAACCCCAAAGAAATGTACAGGCTAGTTAATACCAACTGCACCAAACTGCCCAGCAACAGGCCATTTTGGCACATTACTTGCTCTGAAGGAACAGGCAAAAATAATTGCTTTCAATGGATAGTCACTTTCAGTATTGAAAATGAGTGACATCCTTTTGGATAGTGCAGCTGTCTCCTCGTATATGCCTGTGGTCCTGGAGGAGGTGTGTCATCATCTCTCATAGTGTAGTCTGAGATTAAACTCTGTCTTGTCTAGTGGGGAAGGCATGACCATAACTCTACAGTATGGGGAGGGGAGGGAAGAGAGAGTCATAGAATCATTATGGTTGGAAGAGACCTCAAAGATCATCAAGTCCAACTGTATACTCAATGCCACCATGCCCGCTAAACCCACTAAACTATGTCTCAAAGCGCCACATCTAAACATTTTTTGAACACCTCCAGGGATGGTGACTCCACCACGTCTCTGGGGAACCGGTTCCAGTGCCTAATGACTCTTACAGTGAAGAAGTTCTTCCTAATATCCAACCTGAACCTTCCCTGGTGCAACTTGAGACCGTTTCCTCTTGTCCTATCACTGGTTGCCAGGGAGAAGAGACCAAGCCCCACCTCACTGCAACCTCCTTTCAGGTAGTTGTAGAGGGTGATAAAGTCTCCCCTCAGCCTTCTCTTCTCCAGACTAAACAACCCCAGCTCCCTCAGCCGCTCCTGTTAAGACTTGTTCTCCAGGCCCTTCACCAGCTTTGTTGCCCTTCTCTGGACCCGCTCCAGCAGCTCAATGTCCTGCTTGTAGTGAGGGGCCCAAAACTGAACACAGTATTCAAGGTGCAGCCTCACCAGCGTGGAGTACAAAGAGATGATCACTTCCCTAGTCCTGCTGGCCACACTGTTTCTGATACAGACCAGGATGCTGTTGGCCTTCTTGGCTGCCTGGGCACACTGCTGGCTCATGTTCAGCCAGCTGTCGACCAACACCCCCAGGTCTTTTTCTGCTGGGCAGCTTTCCAGCCACTGCAGAGTCCTTGCAGACCTCTTTAAGAACGGGATTTGGACTCAGACTGATAACATCAGAGAAGCAAAATATAAATCCTAAGAAGTTAATTTGATGCAGAAAGCCTTGATCAGATGTTTTTGTGCTATTCATTTGGTACATTCAGAAGACTAGAAAAGTTAAGTGCTTGGGTTCCTGGTTTTGTCTTAGGAGCAAGGGAGTGAGGAATCCTTGGGTGAATCTCCTTAGTCTGTTTTAGACAGTCCAAGTGCAACATACCCCAGAGAGAGTCAACAATCTGAGAAACTTTCTTGGGAGACAGAGAAAAGGAAGGAGAGAAAAAGAAGGGGCATACTTTATTTACTGTTGTTGGTTTTAAAGGAATTTGTAGACACTTCGGGATATTTTGAAGGCCAAGAGGAGGAATTAATGGTTAACTCCTTGTGTATCCTGACTGCTTTGTACAGTTTGAGACTAACAAGTGTGACTTGGATATCTTCTGAGGAATGTCATAGCAAGGAATGTCCTACTCCTGAGTGATACTAATTATGATTCTTATACTCCCAAGCCCTTTTCTTTGTATCAGTTACATAAAGCAAGAATGCTCCTAATACTTATTCACACTGCTTCAGCCTCCCTAATCCAGTTCTTATCAACAAAAAGTCCTTTGCTTTTTAAAGCAAATCCTCAGTTCATTGATAGAATGTTAATTATTTAGCCAATTGTGTCACAAAGCTACTCTATGAGTGCTTATTTGTGAGCTTCTTGCGCCCTCCTCTCAGATTCTCTCTTCCTTGCCCAAGGCTTCTCAGAAAAATTCAGCTGCATCAGTACCTTGCTGAAAACAGCATGGCTCATTTGACTCTTGTCTCCGTTCAGCAAAGAACACCCTTAAACTTGGTGTTTATGGTCCTGAGGCTTATCCTAAAATCTCTTTTCCTGAACAAAACATTTAGGTCACATACATGAAATTGTCCAGTCCAACAGGCCTATTAGAGTAGGAAGAATCTGCAAAGCCTAATTTGGGGAAGAGTTTTGTTTGTTTGTTTTCAGTTTTTCTCTGCTTCTCAGGAATGTGTTTGGAGATTAGATCTAGTCAATTGAAGAAAACTGCCCAAATGCCCAAATACTAAACAGATTTTCTTAATCAGTACTATGTGGATCTAGGATCGTACAGATGGTCTCTGTTAAGCTCTGTATTCTCCAGACATTAGAAGAGTGAGAAACTTACTTTAAATGGGTTTCCAAAGTGCTTTAGAGAGCAGTAAGAATATGGGTAGTGCAATAAACATGACATCTGTGGAATTGTTAGCAATAGTTTCTAGTTATTCTTTAAATGTTACAGCTGAGATTTGTATGTGTGCAGAGAAGAGGCAAGGAAACTGTCATTTAACCTTGTAGTATTTGTGGTTACCTCCCATGCAAAAGAAAACAGAGTAACCAGTAACCTTAAAGGGAGAAATCACATTTCTGTTTATTCGGACACTGTTGTAAATTCTGTATGGTATGGTTGGTTTTGGAACAAAATCTCCAAAGAAAAGGATTGTGTGTGCACAGTGCAGCAAATGTGGAAGGCCTGATTCTTGTGTTCAAAGGGCATTTAAAATACGTGAGCTAACATTTGCTCACCTGAAGAGAATAGCTGGATAAAGAGTAATTTGAAAATACCTGTTTCTCTGAGAAAGGTATCATAAAATTAACATGAAATAAACCTGTCTCACATACTATCTATAGTTCAGTTCTTCTAATTCAAATCCAGTATTTCTGCTATGAGTGTACCAGAAAGAAAAATATGCTAGAATGGTATAGCAGAACAACAGGGTTTTGGTGAGAATGCTTTTCAGATCATTGCTTCATTCTCTTCTTTTGCAGAAGTCTTGCTTTAATTGAGCAATTTATTTAAAAACAGATGCTCTTCTGCACAAGATGTAATCTCTTATCTCATGCATTTTGATATAGAATCAACTACAGAAAAATAATTTGAAAAGATAACTTCTTTCACACTACTTTTGCAGGAGAATCACTGATAAAGCTAGCATTTTAGAGCCCACAAATGTTGATCATTCCTGAACCAGAATTAGATTTCTTAGCAGCAAACAAAATTGTAGTATCTTCAAGAGCAAAACATTGGCAACTGCCAAACAAAGCCTACAATAACAAAAATGACGATATTTTCATAAAGTACTCCAACAATCATCATCATTATCATTCTCAGAGACCACCTCTTATGGAAAAAGTGTCTTCATTGTAACAGTGTTAGCAATTTCATTGAACAGATAAGAAGCTAGTTAGCTTGTAGAGGCTGAACTGCCCTCTTGCACAGATCCATACAGGTCTTCAGGAAGAAATGTAATTACATTTAACAATTGTAATAAATTACACAAGTGTGATTTGAACTCATGTTTCTTGCCTACAAGAACCATTCACGTGCAACATCAGATTGGGCAGTCATGCATAAATTCTGACTCAAGTCATTTCGCTTCAGCCAACAGGCCTGGTGCTAAGCATGATTTATCTCTGTTATCTGGACTGATCAGCATGTGTAACACCTGCTGTTGGAATTAGGGTGTTATTTATACTCTGTACTATGGCAATAAATAGAAGAAAAAACATTTAGGTTTGGGTTTCTCATGTATTAGGTGATATGCAGACATACGATAAAGAAGCTAATCTTTTTCCCAAAGGAGTTTGCAGTTAAATGCCAGACAGGGCAGTAGATAAGGCAGGAAGGAGAGGAATGGCAACACGAAAGTGTCACATACAGCTTTTTAGACCTTTCATAAAGAGAGACACCTTTAGTTCCAGGGCTGTTGATCTGTCATCTTTTGACACTGTATGCATTGATATATAATAGATAATAATTTTTGAAATTCATGGATTCATATTTGTACCTCTGGATTGGACTTCAGGGCTTTGATTACTGTGCAGACTTACCAATGAATGCGTGTCTTTTTTTCTCTCTTTTTCAGGGGGAACAGCTTCCAGACAAAAGGGCTTTTTGGGATGCATTCGATCTCTGCGTTTAAATGGACAGAAACTTGACCTTGAAGAGAGAGCTAAAATGGCACCCGGTGTTAAACCTGGATGTCCAGGACATTGCAGCAGTTACGGTAACCTGTGCCATAATGGAGGAAAATGTGTGGAGAAGTATAATGGTTACTCCTGTGATTGTACCAACTCAGCCTATGAAGGTCCTTTCTGCAAGGAAGGTAGGCAGTGAGCTTTGGTCTTAAGTCCTTAGTGGTCTCTGAATTACAGCACAGTTTCTCCCATGTCAGCTTGGTGTCCCCCATGTTACAAGAAGACATTCTAATATCAGCTGTGTTTTCAGCATTACTAAGTGTTTATTTTAAGCAGGCTATAACGCCTCCTTTTGATGACTTCAGTGATGGCATCAGAAATTAACACCATTCAGAAATGGTGTTAGTTGTACTATTAAAGTTACCAACTATATCCCGCTATGATTCCGGTATTCAATTGCGTATAACTTGCCCTAGACATTAACAAAGAGGGCTAAAATTTTTTGAAACAGTTGTCTGCCCATGTCTGAATGTTTAGTTTGCTGGTTTTTAAACCTCATCTAGCTTTGTCCACCTTAGCAAAATCTTGAGAACTTTTGTTTACAGAGTTCTGGAGCAATGGTGTGACAAAAAGAGGTAGTCTCTTTAGGGGATGACAACCCATCCAAACGTTAAGGGATTTTAAAAATAAGAATGAAGCATTCAGGAGAAAACTGATTTGCATGGTTCAGCCTCTGGTGAATGTGTCCTCACTGAACCTTTCTGGTGGCTCATGGGAGATGTTGCCAACACCAGAAAAAGAAACTGGGTAAATAAAGAACATCCAATTTAGATAGCATGCTCTTTGGGAGAGGAAGGAACTAGCAAAACTCCTTCTCAGTAACAGCAAGGTGCAATATCAGTATTTTAATTTCTGCGGCTGCCCCTCACATCGCAAATATGACAGGTTTACCAAGTGGGCTACATCATTTGCTGGTGTAAATTGTCTTAGTTGTACTGCAGTCCATGGAACTATGCTCACTTGCATGAGCTGAGGATTTGGCACCGATGCCATGAGAGGCATATCAAATAACTGTATAGTGTCCTGTTAGGAGATGCTGCTGTAGAGGTGGAGCTGCTTTATTGGAGAAAGTACTTGCAGTCAGTCTGTAGCTGAAGATATCACCATCCTGACTTTACTGTGCCTCACATTACAAAAAACTGCTGTTATCACATATATGTATTTCATGGCCAGACTATGTTGTGTTTACTGAAAATACGAGCATGAGTTCTCAGGATCTGAGCGTGCACAGGTAGATGTTCTTCTTTTGGAGCTACCAAAGACAGCTTCCCTTACTCGCTGTCTTTGGGTCAATGTGTTGCTTTAATAATGACTTTGTTTAAAAAGGAGAGTGGAAAGGACAAATATACTGTCTGTACTGTGGGGCGAAAGAGAATATTGCCTTACATGTTAGGTGTCAGAAGATGGTGAACTGAGCATTTATTTGGCTGACAGGCATTTTGGCCTGTTCCATCTTGTTGAGCTCTGATTCCAGCAGTACAATAGTTGAGTTTAGAGGCCTGTCTCCATACACTGTCCTTCTCTGTGCCAGACAAACAGACTGTAAGGAAGGACACACTGCTTGTCCAAATTAAGGAATGGTGATGTCAGCTGGGTCAGGGGCATTTTGCAGTGTTCTGCTTCTGAGACAGTCAGCTCGTGTCCGTGCCTGCCTGGGAGGTCTGAAAATGCAGTAGCTGAAATTATTCCCTTGGTTTATATATGCTTTCAGAGGTTTCTGCATTATTTGAAGCTGGCACTTCCATTACCTATATTTTCCAAGAACCTTATCCTGTCACAAAAAATGCAAGCACCTCAAGCTCTGCCATTTATGTGGATGCTGTCATGTCCAAGGAAAATATTGCATTTAGCTTTCTCACGGCACATACTCCAAGCCTTCTGCTGTACATCAACACCTACTTTCATGAATATTTGGCTGTGATTCTCTCCAAGAATGGTAAGTGCTCTTGATTTGCTACCAAAGGGAGACCAGTGTAACTGTGTTAAGTTTTTTGTGAGAATAGTATAGAATTCTGCACTGATTTAAGTTCATTTCTGTGTCTGTAACTTTATCAACTTCATGGTATCCAGTTCATGCAAATAGCCATCATTCTTGTTTATGTCGCTTTATTTGGCATTCAGTGCTACACTTTCCTATTCAGTCTTTGAATAATCATGTTGTTGGGGCTTAAAATGTGCTTTGACTTTCATTTGGCAAGACTGTACAATAGCAATTCCTTGCTATTTATTCCACACTGAGATCCATTAGGCCTCCAAGATAAGGGAATGAGAAATACCATGAATGTACAAGAACACTTGGTGCAGAAATATATTATAATTTTATCTTTTGCATTCTGTCTTGGCAAATGTATTGCTCTTCACTGTGTTGTTTCAATGGAATATGGTCAGTACATCTGAATATTAAAGCCAGAAAAGTCAAAGTTTTCTAGGTTCACTGACCAAAACATGCGGTGTAAATCCATTTTCTATTAAAAGGTACATGGTGTGGGGACTTTTTGAAAACATGTAAAGATTTCAGGGGCATAGGCCCTACGTCTTCTCAGTAAAACTCTGGTTCCTGAGTCCTTGCAGTGCTTTCAGAAAACTCACTCCAGACAAACATCATCCTAGACAAATGGGGATGTTTGAATTACTCAACAGTTATCAGGCACTGGAGCACAGAAAGTGATGAGTAAGCATATTAGTGAGTCACTAGCCTGTGGCAGAACAATAGAAAGTTAATGCTATGTGGTTGAATATGCACATTTGACTGAATGACCCAGACCACTCTGAAGCCTTGCAAATTCCAAAATAGCTAAACTTTCAAGTACTGTCAAACGAAATTATAAGGGAAAAAAAAGAAAAAAAAAAAAAAGGTTTTATTCTCTGTATGGGCTTTGCAGTAGTTTATCTCCAGGTTACATCATGCGGCTAGCATTCGGGCTGGCATAGGATGAGTATCCAAATCTGTGGAAGGGGCGGCTGGGACAGTATCAGCCTGGACCCATCTCCCTTCAGCGAAATCACAGCAGTGTGGTGGGACTACTGAGGAAACCCTTTCTCCTGTCCTGTCTAGTCCCAGATTTCCATCTCTGATTTGCTATTGGAGGCGAGTGTTTATGGTTTTCAGATATATGAATATTCCAGTGCATACCTCCAGAGTGGCAGAGGTTAGACCCTGCAGAGGTGAAACCTTGGAATCTGCTTTTCAGTTACACTCGGGTCTCTTGATGCCACTCAGGCAATTGAAAAAAGCCCTGAAGTGAATGAAAATGTAATATCCATTTAAATCACCTTTACTGCTGCCAGAGTAGTGTAAAATGACCTTAGAAACATTATCAACTGACTTTTGTTGATGATATACAACCATAAGCAAGCTATAATTATGAAGTTCTGGAAGGGGGGACTCTAATGGTAGTTGGGAAGAGGTTTGGGATCAGGACACCAGGATCTCATGTAGCAGCTCGGTAGGAGCAAAGCCGAGCCTTGCATTTTGGCAGCTGCACCATCTGGAGATCTCTGCTTTGCTTCAGATGGAGATAGGGACCCTCAGTAGTTCTGGAAATTAGGTGGAGCAGCTCTCAGCACACTCGTGCAATTTAAACAATGGTACATTTCTCAGAACTATACCTCTGTTTACTCACTTGTAAAATGAAGATAATAGTAGTTTAGAGGGTTGGTGAGATGTCAGGATCCAAAAGTCTGGACTATAAAATGTAGCACTATATGCAAAGCATTATTAAGATAACTAGCTGACTTTGGTTAACTCCTGAAGGTCTCTTTCAGGGTCACTCTGTGCATGCTTCTGTGTCATTCTTACGAGAGAGTCATTTCAGTCATGTATACTCTCTGCCTTTTGTCCCACTTGCAATCATTTTTTAAATCTCATATTTTTTAGTCTTGTTGGAATTGAAATTATTCCAACGAAAATAATGTTCAGATATGTTACTCTTTTTTCCTTCGAGAGGTTTGTGCTTGCCATAAGGTTATTGGACTATGAATAACAATGTCCTTTGTAGCATTAAAAGTGAACACAATTTCTTCTCTCTTATTGGCTCATTTTCAAAGAATCTTGCTGAGTCTGACAGTGTTGGACCTAAGTAGACCCCTGCTGGATAACTGATTGGTTAAATAAAGGTTAGGCTCCTGGTGAAATGGGAATGGGCATTCTCACTTAAGTGGTGAGCAGTAATATTCTTTGCCAAAATCCCAAGACTCTTGCCACTTCTTAAGAAACTATATTGGAACAGTCTATGTATACTTTAATACCTCACCTTTTGTAAGTATTTTTCAAGCTACTACTCATGTATCCTGTTAGTCTTCCTCTTTTCTATTATCCACAAAATAGTAGGCATACTAGTGCCTAGCAGCTAATATTTTCAGAAATAGTTCCCACCCAAAGAACTTATCTATATCACAAGGTTGTTCTTACCACTGATCAATTGGCTTATGTCCTGGCAGCTTATGGGTAAGTTTTCAAAAGCTGACGTTTTTAAAGATGACTTTGGGATTCTTCTTGCCATTAGTTAATACTTACACTTCTAAATCATACATGTGCCTTTGAAAATTGTATGCAATAACTTAGCATTGTCCTCTCTTCCCCAATCTTACATATTGTACCCATGGATTTTTAAATTACACATATATATAGATGTGTATGTATTGTATGTAGATGGGTATGTATACATGTATACAGATGGGTATCTATGTAAAGCTCACGTAGTCCCATTGATCCCACATCCAAAAGACTATCAGTACTGTAATAAATGGCAGTGGATTTTTAATATCAGTAGTACTGTAGAAATTTCAAAATATAGTACCTATTATTAAACTACAGAAAATGGGTAAACATCTCTAACTAGCTTTTTCAGTATGTCAGTTCACAGAAGGTATTCACATCATTTGAAGCTACTGCCAAGAAAAAAATAGTTTTTTCTTTCCCAGGCTAAATTTTCACTGTACATTTTTGCATTTACATGATTTCACCAAGTTACCAGTACTTTAATATTATTATCTTTGCCGTGATCCCTAAAGACAATAATTGATGGGGGAGACACGTTAAGAAGCTGGTAGTGCTTCTCCTTTCTTCATTCTTCCTTCTCCTCTGCAAGTAATCAAATGTGTTATGAATATGATCATCTAGAAAATGTTTTCCAGGTCTTTGATTCTCAGTGTTGTTGGCTTTTGCCATGGAAATAATGAGATTCCTAATCTAGAAAAAGAGCAGATAGCCAGCATCAAAGAAAACAGATAGAATCTCAAACTATCCTAGAGTGATTGAAAATTTATCTGTATTCATTATCTGATCTCATAAGAAACAAAACAATTTAAGTCCTTTTTTTTCCTATGTTTCTATCCAGTACCTCTTGCCATCACAGTGAGCCCTGTTCTCAAATTCTTTTGGAAAGCAAGACTCTGAAATTTCATAGGAAAAATTAAAGACAAGGAAAAAGGCACGGTTAAAAATGAAAGTAAAAATCAAAATAGCTTGATTAATTCTTCTGTTAGGTCTCTGATACTCAGAAAATAGTAGCAGGACCTAGATCAACTCCACTGACCTGTCCTATAAGGTCTTGAAATAAGCTGATATTTGAAGTAAATAGGAAAAGAAACTAAAACCTGTAAAAGAGGTAAGCTTAATTAACACTCTGCAAAAAAGAAACAAAAGCCATCAGTGAGAAGCTACTGATTTTTTTCTTTTTAGTAAACTAATAAACATAAATCTACTGTATTCTCCTGTCTCTAAGTCAGAAGCAGCCTTTCTGTTGAAGGCATGTAAATTCTCCTTATTGTTTTTGCCTTGCAAGTCTGTTGAGCTGCATCTCCAACAACTTTTCTCAAGCAAAAATAAAGCTTTAGGCATTCAGTGGTAAAGAAAGGCAAAAAATCTAGTTCAGTCTTTGAGGCAAAGAATCTTTTGATCTTTTCATGCTGTGCACTCTGGAGTTCATTGGGACAAAACTAAAATAATTAGGGAAAATAGGACTTACTGAAACACTTACTGAATGCACTGGGGTGGGTTTTGGGGGTGATTTTGCTGGTTCTTTTCCTTTACCACCTTGCAGGTTTTAGTTTTGGGATGTGGGTACCACAGGACGAAACTAACTGCTGCAGAAAGACCCTCTAGGCTATGCTATTGCTAGTGCAATTGTCTTGTCTTTTGAGAACACCTTCTGGCTTACAGACTTTGAACAGCCACTGAACAACCTGCACAATTTATGTGACTGAAGTGGAAAATGGTGCCAAGGTTCAGGTATACTTATTTTTAACAGATCAGGAGCAGGAAAGTGAGTCATGTTGGGAAGTGTGGGAGACAGCTTTGTTGAGGAGACTAGTTTTCAAGCAACTGCCTGTGAGTGACTGAGAATTGTTCCCAGTCTAGCTCTGATTCACAGCCATTAAATGATTTCATATAGCAGAGAGGACTATATATCTTCTAAATATAATTTCAAGCAATTGTTGTAGTTGGCCCTGAAGTCTGGCCCTGAGTGAGGGGCCAGTGAGAGTTTGATTGGGAATGGTGAATGTAAAAGAAATTTTCCCCAGTTGGCTCTAAATGGGAGGCTGGCTGTGGCACCATGAATAGGAAGGGTTGGGGTGGCAGGAGATCTCCCAATCAATTTCTTTGTGTAAATAGAGAAACTTCTGTGGTTAGAAACATCTCTGGTCCCTTGGATGATTCGCTACTGTAAGCACACTTCACAGAAAACATGAATGCTGATGAGAGTTTTCAGTTCAAATCCAGCACCAAAAAGCCTTTGAGAGAAGAGGTGGACTTGGCTCCCAAAACCAATTTTTTTTGTTTACTTTAGCGTATGGCACTCTAAATCTCTAAGTGTGCATAACTAACTTGAAAGGAGAAGCAGTCACAACATTCAGCCAAGGACAGGCACATTTCTTTATCTGCTTTCCAAGAGGAGAGAACTGAAAGATCTGTCTCATTAGCTGAATTCATGG